CAATACTTCTGCCAAAATCAAACATTTTTATACACTTGATTTCAAAATATCATTATGAGTAAAAGAAAGGCTACAACAGTTTATGCGACGACTGAAGTTTGAAATAATTATACAGCGTTTTTCGAAAGTACTGTACTTGGGTGGTTTTAAGAACGATGAATTATTCTCAAAATTGCAAACAAAAACGTTGTACCAATTCTGATATTGTTTTTTATTTACGTAAGGTAATTTTGTACAAGTATTTTATTAGTTAGAGACGTCAAAACATGATATAAATGGAATATTAAAATTTAAACAAAATTTTTAGAATAAGTTGCAAATTAGTGTTATCTTTATTAAACCTTCACATTTTTAAACCCACGTGGCCTAAAAAATATAAAAGCAAATGTGAGCATCACCATACCGGGTGAGTCATATACAGAGTGTTCCGTCTAAACCCCAAATTAGAAGTATTGAGAGTTCGAATAATCGTATTTATTTGAAAATTAGTCGTCCTAAATGAAAATATTTTCAAGATGGCGGCACTTCCGCTTATACCGGAAGTCGATTTTAACTTTTTTATTTTAAATAGAAAGGTATATTTTTACTGCGTTTTTGGATTAATCAGGTTATTTTAAGGGAGTTTTCATCAACTTTCCCTATACCTAAATTTTGCCGTAGTGAAATATTTGGAGTTTTCCAAAAATTTTTGGATCTGCAATTAAAAATCGGTAACTCTGCCATTTTTTAAAGATTTTGAATTTGTTTTTTTGGCGTTTGAAAGAAAAAGCTTAGATCTTTTTCTGGTGTTTTTAAGGTTACTTTTGTAATAATTAAAATACTCATAACTCAGTTTTTCCAAACAAAATACCCCAATTTTTATTTTATTTGTATTCAAAAAAGTTTTGCATTTAGTTGGCTATTTGTTGAGTAAAATTGCAAAATTTACCCTTGCTACATTTCGGTAGTTGGCTAATTATATGTCAAAGCCATTACGACCTAATTTGCTTGTATGAATAAAAGGCAGTTTTACATGACGAATGGCCCAGCAATTGTGTTTTATAGGACGTTAAAGAACACAATACCTTTCGGAGAACTCGATCGCAAAAACCAAACAAAACGCTTTTTTCCGCATTGTGCGACCCAGCTCGAGTTTAAAATTACTATAATTTGAACATTGTGGCAATTTTGGGGTCCTAAAATAATTCGAGACTTTGCTGAACGCCCATTGCTCTCTCATTATTCTACTACCGACATGTGAGCGTCATTCGACTGTACAAAATTGGTTTTTGCAAGCACAAATTCACACATGTGACGAGGACAGTTAAAATGCTTGTCGGTAATGATGAATGGCCATTGCCGGTAATGATTAGTATCCTATTTCTGTAAAAATGCAATTGCCCCTAGTTTAAAAGTAATTAACACTTTGATTGTTTATGGAGTGATGCATTCGAATCTCTGATTTTTAATTGTCAGTGGCATACATGCGGTTTCTTTTATTTTTTATTTATGGGGCTGAAATGTGTCAATTAAAACGTCCAACAAGTTTTTCAGTGTTTGTTTAAAAAAAGTATACATTTACTAAAATATACTGCTGACATTTGGATCATTAGTCAACGTTTTTCTGTTGTGACTTCAACTTGAAATACGATGATACAAATTTGGGATTTTTTCAAAATTCTTTCGAATAAGTTTCTGGACTGTAATTTTATGAAACAAACTGAGCTTACTGAAGCAAGCCTTATCTGATTCATTTGTCATTCACAGCTGCTCCCTATTTTCAGACTTTCTTCGGAAAACTTATTTTGGTAGAAAGATATTTGATTTCTATGCCAACAACACTAATTATTAGTACAAGCCTTTATCTTGCTTTATCTGTTGTTATTTCGCTTCTCGGTATTTTGTTACGAAAATATGATAGATTTCAAAAATCTAGACAAAATCAGCAAAAATTGGGCACTGATTGATTGATTCGTCAATTAAAAATTTTATTCCATCATGCGGTTCCTGTTATGGCCCACGCAGAGAGAATCTGTTTTAAATGGCTCTTTATGTATTTAATGGTGAAGTTTCAAATATTTCCGCGCTAAATCATCAACGAAGAGACACTTGACCGGATACCCCAGCACTTCAAAGATGATGAGTGGAACAACGTCGGGTAAACATAACAAGTATTACTTGTGAGTTAATTACTGTTTTAAACATAGAGTTGGGTGTGAGTGGCAGTTAATAATTTTATACCTGTATTAAAATAAAATTAATTTTTTATTAAGGTTGATGTAGTACTAGATATTTTCTGTTAAAATACAAATAATAAAAAAATATTTACATTAGCCTTATAATCCTGTATTGTTACAATCTACCGTTTCACTGAGAGCGAGGTCTGAGTTAATTTCTATTATGTTGAGCGAAACTAATTTTAGTTTGACCCGAAAGTGTAGGCAAACACTAATTTATTCATTGTAATAGTTACGTTTCAAAGTAACAATGCGTTGTGGTTATTAGGCCAAAAAATAAAAATCAAATAACGAAAATGCAAAGATTATAAAGTTTATATCGACTTCTAATTGTTTGTAATTGTAATAATTTATATCAGTTTGTTGTTGATTAAAGGGCCACCGAAAAAAAACTTTGTATTAAATCACTTTACTCCAAAAACCTGCATTTTTAAAACGAAAGATTACAATATTTACAGCATTTAACTGTTTGGATAAATATTTTTTCAGGAACAAAATGGATAGTACTTTTGTGAAAGTAACAATTAGTAGATGAAAAGTCCTACAAACTTATCAGGTGTGGTAAGTATGCAATTCCACATTTTTTTATGATATCTATAAGGTCCATGGCACCATATCTGTTTACAAGCAAAAGCTGGTTTTTAAATAATTGTTGTTTAAGTTTTTTAAATGCACAATATTTGAAATATTATATCTGTATTCAATAAAGAGCCATCCTTCGCAGCTTTTTAGAGACCAAGAGGTAAAATTAAAAGACATATTACCACTGATTAAATCTGTTTAAAGCCGTATTATTTTTGCGTTATCTATCTATAGCTTTGTTAGACTGATTTTTACTATTATTTTTAACTTACTATATCAAAGCTTCTATCAAAAAAGAAAACAATAAATTTATCAGCACAATAAGACAAAAGCAAAGCTGCCAACCCAATGGGCGTTTCTTATACATACAATGGCTTAACTTAACAAATCAATAATTTTAAAGTAATCTTTATTCAAATAAAAATAATTAAGTCTGTAGTAATATTTCTCATATTTCAGATTTTAATCAGACATGATGCCTTTATGAGCTTTTAATTATTTATACAAAATAAATGGACCACCTAAGTGGTTCTATCCACAATTACGTAATAGTTTGACATTAAAAATTAAGTGAATGAATAATCAGTCCAAACAATTTATTTTGTTATCACTTATATGTACTTTCTTATCTCTACATTTATACTATAAAATTGACTTTCTTGTTGTATAAGTAGGTAGTTGGACCAAAGTCTTCATTTTTAAAACAGAATAACATTACGTACTTCAATTTGATTTTTTTTTATTAAAACAAGAATGACACGGTTTTCCCACTAATAATGACATACTCGTAATATTAGTTTGATGTATGTACAAAAACTCTTAACAGATGATTGATTTGAGTTTTTTAAAAATATATGTACAGTCGATCATAAAATCACATTCAAAGTATGTAGATATTTTTTATTACATTACATTACATTGTACGAACTTTGGCAATAGAATGCATTATCAACGCAAATTATTGCCCAATTTGAAATAATTGTTTTTTTTTTTAATAAAGCGAACAAGAAATAAATAAGTGGCATACCTTCAGATGAGTATTCATAAAAATGCAGTTATACTTTTTCAGTGGCGTAGGTACTGAGCTTTTAACGGGCTGCACGGATCCCCACCCACCATGTATAGCAGTGTTAAATAAAATATTATTTTATAATATTATTAAAAAAAATATGTAAGAATAATAACTTGTAAAATAATATAAAAAAACATAATAATAAAAACGACCCCACATTAGAAGTATTGGACGTTCTGATAATGATATTTGTCAAAAAATTTGTATTTCCGGTTAATTGAAAGTGGGTTAATTTAATAGAAAAATGTTTCTTATTGCGTTTTTGGATTTTCCGAATTATTCTATGAGAGTTATCATCGATCTTCTTTATACTATAAGTCCAGCCGTTTTAAAGATTTTTTGACTTTCAGAAAATTTTTGAAATTAAACCTATCTCTTCAAAAATCTATCTAACTCTGCAATTTTTAATTAATTAATTTATGAAATCGTATTTTGGCATTTAAAAGATCTTTCTTTTGATGGATTCATAATTAAAAAAATCACCCAAAATTTAACGTTACGTTTGAGTAAAGTCAAATACTCATATATAAATTTTTCTAAATAAAAGGCTCCAAATTTTTCTTGATTAAATGGAGAGCTCAAGTTGACATAACAGTTTTTTAGTCATCAGAATCTAATTTTAACAATTAATATAAAAAAAATTATTTTGGTTTTTCTTAAATTTGTAATTGGGCAACGGAAAGAGTCCGTGCGGGAACCCTTTGAGGTCCGGACCCGTATTCAAAATAGATACTTTTTAAACAGTTGAAAGATAAGAAGTTCTGAAAATAAGTAGTTAGGTACAGGGAGAAAGTAAAAAAAAATTCTTTCGGTTATTTTCAAGGGGTACAAACTGAAGTGGGCTATTACATCAATTTTAATCATTTGGAGTTTACGATTTTGTAACATAAAATATTTAGTGGTAATAAAGTAGTAGTGCACTTACTTACTTGGTCGAAACAGATACCAGTGTGCACCTATGGTAGATACTAATGTCATCTAACACCTAGCTTACCTTATAAAAATTCAGGGTGTAAACTCGGAATTGGCCATATATAAAATATCTATAATACTATAGAGTGGGGTGTCTTTGAAGAAGGGGAAACTGGATGAGACCTGTGGGCAAGCGCGAATAACAGTTCGAACTTGTGCGTTTAAGGAGGAGGTTCACGTCGACATGTCTCTGACTTGAACACGCGTATATGTGTAATGTAATCCAGAATAAACATTAAGGCATCCGTATCTAAGCCGATAAAATTAGGCGGTACATTTTAGGCAAATTGTGGAGTCACGTTCGAATTTTGAATTTGTTGTTGTAAAGGGATTGTTTAATTATGTGGAAGTTCTAAATGGTTATCGTGGATAAGCAAGTTCAGTGTGGTGTAAATTATTATTGCGTGTTGGATTATTCTGCTACATTAGGGTGAGTTTTTTCTGCGTTTGCTGATGGTCGGCCCATATGTGTAATTTGATTTGTTCCGAACCGACCGGCATTTGATTAAACCCACGCATTTCAGAGACGGCTGAAGAACCAAACCACCTCCAATTATTGTTTCCACTTAATCAAATCCAATTACCAAAATTTTATGCTTTTCTTTTTTAATCTACATACAATGGAACGAAAATTTCATTTGGTAATGTAATTGAAAAGCTTTTAATTTAAGAAAAAAGCTTCCCGTGGATGAATTGTAATTAGGCGCTATATCAATTCATCAATCACACCAAAGGTTTACGAGTATCTCTTTGGGAGAAAACTTTCGGGTCACAGAAGACAGAAACTTCCGTGGCTGCTTGCGGAGTAGCTGTCATATCTGACACTTCGCTATTGGGGGTTGAACGCTTGAATCAAGCAACGACAGTATTTATAGGATCTTAGGTTGTTCAAGTTTACTTAAAATCCCTGTATTTTGTGAGTGTTTAAATGTGACGAAAGAAGCTCTCATGAGTTTTTTCTCTTTGGCTACATTTATTTAAATAAATTAAAAATTAATACAAGTTTTTTTTTGTTTTTGGACACATTTTTAAAATGTGAGTTGGATGAATGCTGTATTACTAAATTACATTACCATATGTACTCGTACAAAAATATTCTCATAAATTGTAAAAGTTTGCGATTTAGCAGAAAAAAAGTGATTACATAAACAATTTGTTATTAAAAAGAAACTTGAGTATTTATTGTCTTGTATGAAAAGCAATTCTACCGTTGGATTTTACGATCTTTTTCTGTTTTATTGGGATTTTCATAAGCCACGTGCTGAAGTAATTCAACGTTAAGAGAGGCCTTTCTCGTATTGCAACTTTTACAATTTCCACTTCCCAAGTTTAATTAGAGAATTCGCGAATTAAAACACTTTATTATTTACAAAAGCTACACAGATTTTAATCAGGAATGCCCTACTATTTTTTAAATAAGTAATTTAACACCGAAATTGATTTTTCTTTGGGTTTTAAAACCGTTAAAAATCATTTGTAAATTTTATTGTTTTTATATTTGTACATTCGTTGTTCAGTTATCTTGCGTACAAAATTTTTGCTGTATGTCTATCCGTGGTATAAAAATGTAGTCTTCAGATCAGGCATCACTCGCACATATTTAAGTTCCAAAAATCTCACAGGTTAACTGTAGTGAAAATTGTAGATTAAGTTATTAAGAAAATCTTATAGAACATTGCAATAAAAGCTGTTTTGTGGAATTGGTGGAATTGGTCCTCGGCGAATTTCTCTATTATTCATTTTTTATTAGTTTGATTTGGATAGTAATAGCCATAAGTATTTGAAACTTTAAATTGCATGTGTTGCTGAACTTAGACCACCAAATCAAAAAATTATAATGGTGTAACGGTAAGTGATAATACCCACGAATAATGAGCCAAGTCGTGACCGGACATCATCCCTAATAAGCTTGAATAATGTGATCCAATCCAAATCTGTTAGCAATTATAACAATATAAAAAAGCAATTAACATAAAGTTAGTACTTCCGGTTTTTTGTTTACACATTGTTGAGTGTAGAAATTCCGACAGCTGTTTATCAGAACTTAATTGTCAATTTTATGAAGAATAAAATGTGGAGCTGTTGAAAATGATTCCAATGGGATGATTACAGATTCCTGCAGAACCAGAAAACTTCTCTCCAAAGCATTAAAATTATACTTGCTTTCTTGTTAATTCAAATAAAATACAGCAGTCATCATCGCAAACTAATTACTGCAAATTAGATTAATTAACACTACATTTAACCTAAAATACCTAATAAACAATGCTTGTAGATTTTTACTATGCATCAAATTAAACCTTAATATTATTCGTAAATCTCTTTCGATTCAAGGAAATATGAAACAGTTGCTATAAAGTTGATCAAATAAATAAACACAGTCTTGCTAATAATAACGATAACGATTTTATGATTTGTTTCTCTGTCATAGTTCAAGTTCAGTCTATATTTATCAGTCTAGCCTTAGGGAGCAAAAACTGATAAAACCTTTTAAACTTTGAGAATAATTGAAGTACTCACACTTATACAGGTGTTTGGTCTTCGTCACTGTAATATTCTTCCAGCTAACTTGCATTTCCTGTGTCACCGTTCTTAATTTATTACTTATTAATGGAAACATTTCCTGCTCGTTGTCTTAGCCCACGCACTCGAAACCGAGCAATAAATTGTGTCGTGACTTTTCTTCAAATTTGAATCATTACATCCTGGTAGAAAAACACAAAAGCACACGAAGAATGTACACCAAAAACATAGCGAACTGCTTTTAAATTACTTCGATAACTTGGTGCGGCACTGAAATAGAACGCTTGCAGCCATCCTGCTGATCTTGAATACCAGAAGACTTGTTTGAGGAAAATCCTTGCGTCAATCTCATTTTCTGTTCTTGATGAAAGTCGGGTGTTTGGAATTCTTCAGATTAGCGGAGGGTTGTGTAATTAAGTTTTGGATGTAACGTAGGTATATTCGAATTCGGAAACATAAAAGGAGTTATCCTGCTGCTTTTTTAAATGATTGTAGCTTTTGGAATTTGTGGATTATTAATTTATTAAAATTTATAACGTGTTACAACACTTGTTTTCCAATTTAATTTGCATTCTGGAGGTTTAGTCAGAATCTATATTTTATTACTTATTTATAAAACTTTTCTGGTTGCAGGTGTTTCACTCAATAAATATTTACAGGTGAGGCTCCTGTGCCTCCATTTTCCATGATTAACACACGTTTAAAACAATGTCTGACTAGAATATAAACGGTTATACGGTTATACAATATTTTCATTCGTGGAGTTTTAATAATTAAATCCTTTTAAGCTGCAGAGCGTTCCACATTCTGTCAATATTTGAAAATTGTGATGTTCATTACGCTCTATGCATTTAAAATTTTTCAAGTAGAAATAAAAATGTTACGCTTGATATAATAGAATTTCTATATTTAATGGATCATTATTTAATTTAATCAGTTTATTACAAGAACAACATTGCAACGTCCTTAATTACTGTACAGTAACTAACTATACATAGCAGAGAAGCTTTTTGTCCGAAGAACTGCTCATAATTCATGATTATCCGTCCGGAAAGGCATTGTGTAATCATAATCCCGGCCTAAAGCTTTGCCCTATTGTTCCTAAATTTCCATTACTTGTAGGTCAGAATGTCAAGATAACATGATATAAACATTAAGTACATCAGACTTCGAATGTACCTAACACATTTTAGAAAATTTCTTCTAAAGGGTGAAATCTCATTACCGGCCAACGATTTTTATTCCTCTATAAATATTCAGTGTGATTTCCTTTATAAGCTTATACCCTATTAAATAACACGTGAATTTTGTGTGGCCCTACCCTTCAAAAATACGTGACCATCATACGAATAACCCTACCTTGTTAGTGGATGCACACCCAGTAAATTAATAAATATTAATAAGGGATGGACACCCTGATAATGGAAAACATGTGTGTAAGTAGCTGACGTGATGTCAAGTGCTGAGAGGATTTTTAACATTTCATTTCATTTTGAAACAATAGGGAGTGGGCTTTGATGTTAGGTGGAAGATTATGGAAATTTGCATTTTAGTACCGCTTCTGTGTTTGTTGGTAAATATCAATCAACTAATCTTAACTGTTGTGAATGAAATGTAATGAATTGAGCATGTTTGTAAAGTAATAAAGCTAGTCATTCGGATTTCATTTGCATTTTGCTTTGGATTGGAATGAAGATGCAACAATTTTAGACATCCACAGGCTTTTTTTTCACCACTTAGTACTGCGACTGTTTCAAAAAGTAGAGTATTTATAATAGTTTCATTAATTTTTAAAGTTAGAATAAAAGAGTTAAACGCGTTACGAAGTGTTTTTTTCTATTACTTTTTTTAAATTAAATTAACTTTAGTCAATTTTACAACATTTCCTAGTCATTAAGAGCCATCAAGTAAGTGTGAACAAGAAAACGCTATTTCAAAGGCAATTCCATTTGCATTTTTAATCATGACCCGTCTCAATTCTCAATCACTATTCTGGTCAGTGGTAAGAAGACAAAGAAATGATAAAAATAAATTGTGATAATTACGAGAAACTGATGAGTGGCGGTGTTATTCACACGGACTTGGGTGGCCTCTTGCTGTTGACACCCACGACTTGAAGCACTCTTCAGTTTCTTCATTCAATTTGTTTACAAAACGACTGTTGGCAATCGGCAACGGACAAATTGCTGAGTACTGAGTGGAGTGTAGACATACCACTCATACTACTACCAAACAAACACTCCACTGTCTAATCTGATTCTTAGTGAAGTTCAAATGAAAAGCGAATATGATTGTTAGTTATACAAATAGACATAATGACTAGATTATCATACTTTCTGCGATTTCTAACGGATAATCTACAGTTCTTAATGTCACGTGGATTGAGTTATTAAGTTTTTAAGTTATTTAAATAATTGACCAATTTTTGTGTACCTATAAGTTTATTGAGAATTTTTTTGTAGTTTTAATTATGAATTACAAAGTGTACTTATTTATGAGTGTCTAACATAAAATTTTGTACAATGGTATATTGTTAAAATTTTCTTGATTAGGCCTTTCCACGGCCATTCCGAGCATCTGTTGCTCCGTATTGCTAACATTCTATTTACATAATCACGCCCTAACACCAAGAATCATGTAGAACAACACCTGCTGGTTTAGAAGTGTAGAAGTGATATCAAGAAATTCATATGGTTGTTTTACAACTACTGTTGTAATCTTAAGGCGATTTACTTTTGAAGAAATTGATGGGAGAAATTTAAAAAATGGAAGAAAAAACACTGAAAATAAATAGGTTAAGTAATTTTGTAATTTGAAAATCGAATATTCGAATAATTTAAGCCTGAAATTAAAAATAAGGATTTACGGTGTGGAAATAATTTATTTTATACCAATAATTCAAAATTTTAATTAAATTATTTGAAAATATGCATTTATTCAGTTCGTCGAATAATTTGATTGCATGTACAAATTTTCAATAGCAATGTCACATGAGAATTTGTTAAATTGAAATTGCATAAATTAGTAAATTTTTACAAAATCGTGGTGAGGCAATGCAAAACAAGTTGTCAAATCTAATGCAAAACATTTTGTAGCTTTTAATATTTTTACCAAAGTTACCTAAGTTATTTTCTTAGAATTGGGAAAATTAATTAAAAAGACTTAAAAAGTGCATTTAGCGAAAAGAGAAGGCAACAAAATTTCAGCTATACAGTCTTACACGTATGTTCAGTAAACTTTATTGTTCTCTTCAGTTGATAGAGATCTAATAAAATGCATAAAATATCTCATCTGCATTTAATAATGAACTTTTTTTTTATTTAGTTATTGATTAAATTATACCAGGTGAATAAAAAGTATGGAACCAAACGTTTTTTGCTTAAACTATTTATTTTTTTAAAAAACTAATTGATGAGTGATAAAGTACTATAAAAATGTGATGATTTAACAAGAATAAAATTTTTCGAAATTTCCTTTTGTTTTTGAGTTCTACAAAAAAATATATTTTTTTAAATGGCAACCCACTATAAAATCATTTTTCTCATAAAAGCTATACTCTATGGATTACAACTATCTGCTTTATATTTAATTTTTAATTAAATTTTTTTTTACATAAATGGCAATTTTGACAAAAAAAAAATTGCGTAACTCAAAAACAAAACAAAATTTCGTTCTGAAAATACGATCACATTTTTTATATTACTTTAATTTATATTAATTATTATTTTCTGGAGGCAAATGATCAAAAATAAAACCGCTTAGTTCCATACTTTATATTCATCCTGTATACATTATGATTTAACGGGTGTTTAGCGTCATAGTTGGCGGTAATATGAGTGTGTTGTGAACGGACCACAATTTTTAATACGCCCCGCGAGCTGTCAAATATCAGATAATAACTTTCAATACGATGGTTCGTTCACAATCAAACTTTCATGGATAGCTTTGACGCCAAATTAAAAAAACACACTAATATTGATGATTATATTTGGAAACGATTTTATATTATAAAAAAACTCAGTGAACTTGGAGAATTCGACCAATGAATATTTTTACGATGTCTGTTACTTATGTCTATCAGCACTTTATACAAACGCAACAAAAATGCCATTTACAGAGTGTTCGAGATTTTCTACATTCCCAACATTGTGTTGAAAGATTTGTAAACTTTCTATTTCGTGAAGCAGCGACATAAAGAATTTCAAAATTTTTAGATATGGAATTGTTTAAATTTTTTGGTTGATTTGTATGTAGTTTTTAAGTAGAAATATTTTATACTGTGGTTGATCAAGATTTTTGTCATTTTTAAGTAAATATTTTCTTGGTGCTTTATTTAATTAACTTTGTTTTTTTTATTTTTTTTATTCTTGTATTAGGGGTCTATGCTAATGAAAGATATTCGTTTTTTCTTAATTTCTTTTAAGTTCTCTCTTCATCTCTGGCATGAACTAATTTTGTATCATTTTCAAGACACTAAAAGTTTGTCTAAGTCGTAAGACATCATCTTGGAATCACGTAAGTGACCCACATCATAAAACAGCCTAAACTGATGATTTACAACCTCAAAAGAGTCATAATTAAGGACAGGGTGGTTCACCCGGGTCGTTAGCACTGAGCCCTTGTCGCTTTAACACCCTAGCCGGATATTAACCAATTCCCTTGCTCGTTACCCTAAACTTTCCCGTTATATAGATATGGTTGTTGCTAGCGTTGCTAAACCTACTTTTAGTATTGTACTTGATCATATAAAGATAAGATTCCGATTTTAACACCCATTAATAAACCATTTCGTTTGCAAGACCTAGGGATAATCTCAAAGTAAAAACACAAGATAGCGATGAGCTGGAATGACATTGTTAGGTAGCGAACGGCGACAAAGGGAAGTGCCAAGACATGCAAACTAATTGGTAACACCCTTTTTACCAACAAGGACTAAAAGTGAATGAAATTTCAAGTTCATTGCGCCTAGTTCAGAAATAGAATCAATTGATTTGTGGGTATCAACTTACAATAAGCTCAAATTTCATTTTATTCATGAATATTTTACGTAATGGGAACCTATTAATAATCTAGCTTGAATTATAATTAATTATGGCCGCACGTTGATCTCATTATAAAGTGTAACACTATCCTTTTGTCGGGAAGTGAATACCTACTCCACTCACACCAGCTGCAGACTTCCAACACGTGTCCAATTGAACTTCTATAAAATTGCGACTATATGAGATCTGCATATGAATGATTTAGGTCCTCCTCCTGTCAGTTGCCAGCTGCAAATTGGTCATGGGTTACTGTTCACCATTGTAACCTAACCCTTTAAAGAGTTACACTTTTTTTAAATGAACTGTGAGAAACTTTTCTGTTTTTGATAGTTCAAAAATACTAGTCACACCAATTTGGCTAATGCAGGACTAGTGGCAGTGGCAGTGACAGTGATTGAAAAGTATGCAAATATTTTAACACATGGATGAAATCAATATGTTACATTGCAAGAGAAGTCTGTTATGACAGTAGTAACGTCTTTATCGACAAAGGAAAAACAAGAGATTCGTTTCGTTTGAGTGATTAGTGATTCAGAAAATCTGAAATAATGATTGATTTATCATTTACTATAAATTATCGTATTATCTCATTTATGATGTTTATTAGCAAGTGATGACCAAAACGAAGTTTTAAGTGAAAAAGGTCAAAAGTTAAATAAGACATTAAAAGAGTATTATTTGGTCACAAAACAAAACGTTTTATCGCCTGAAGATTCATCATCGTTTAATTAATGATTTATTCATTAAACACAGTTGCTGCAGTGAAGATTTTTAAATAATTTTTTATCATTACGGTTCTTAGAATATGATGAATCGTACGTACAAATCTTTATTTTTCTTTAACTATCAGTGTCATTCACTTCAATTCTCAGATAATTACAGTTTACATTGACAAACAAGTCTTGAGAATTTTACATGAAAGGACGAGAAAACATTATCGATAACAGAAAATCTTTGACTTTTGCGGTGCGTCGATACTTTTTGCATTAGTGCTGATTCGCATCATCTATGGTATTCAATCATTTAGCACTCACAGTTTACCATAAAAATGAATGCCGACATTCATTAAAGTTGCATCATAAAGATATATAGGAGGATATGATACCCATTTAATGTGGCGCCAGCCCTTTTCCGCCTTTCTTATCAAAGAAGCCAATCAATCGCAGCTTCACGTCATGTCATTTGACGAGGAATCGGAAGAAATGAACAGAACAAACCTACACCAAAAGCCAATAAAGATAGTCCCCAAGGCGACAGCGAAGTCGAGGTCCACCAACCAATACGCCGTATAACAACTCACATATTGCAATTACAATCAATATCGTATAACGAAGAAAAGTGAGGATAAAATTTTATCTCTGTTATAATGACGCTATAGAAATTCGCTCACGAATCGCCCTAGCTGATTTGAAAGGTAGTAAACGGCCCCGTTGTCGAAAAGTATCAAAATTACTTACATTGAGCATAACTTAATGTTGTTTGTGTCCCAGAGCTCGAATTTTCTGGATTTGTCTCAGAAATCATATGTCGTATCAATAAAAAGGATTTTTATTTTCGGGATTAGTGACTATAGTTGATGAGAATGGGGGCCGCATACATGAAAAAAGCAATAAATATATCGACTGTATTTGTCATAAAGTGTAGAGATTTGAAAACAGTGCTTATGTATTCCGCCCTCGAAGAATAAAACATCAAAATAGGTTCAAGTGAAAAAGGGGAAAACGAAAATAAATAAAACATGTGACAAACGCAAACATTTCAAAGTAAAAGTTTCAGTAAACATTGATCATTGCTCCCAGATGGAAGATTTTGCAACCCATATTTACTTTGCAAAGTGAAATTTTAAGTCGATGGTACTTGCAAGTTTATATCTATTTTTAAACAAATCTAACCTTTCTTTTCCAAAATAAGTAAATGTGCCTTTTTTATTAGGTAATATGTAATATGTTGCAATTTAAATAAATCAAATACATATTTGGTTGTATGTTAAAGGGAAGGACTATTTTTAGTATGTTATTTGCTCCTTGATGTAGTTTTGGGAATAGCTTGTACGACTATATAGAAAAACCTTTTTAACAAAACTATTCTGTTAATAATAGTTTTGGACCTACATATTTAGAACTGTTAATAAAGATTTTGAAAATGATAGAAACTTGGATTTTTTTTGCAAAATTGGTTTAAAAGTTTTTTCCTACATTTTGTTATATCTATTAAGAAATCTTTTTATTGTTATTGTGGATACTATGAATTACATTGAATTAATTCAATTACATTTAATTAATTTTGTGCAATGTCGCAAATTTTGTGTTCACCTTATAGTTTTAAAATAATTAGTTACTAAAATTATGTTAGTTTTAATTTAACGAGAACTCTAAATATTTTGGTTTTTCATTCCGAACATACCCATACCTAAATTTTTTAAAACTAATTTTTCGATTTTTGTGACTACTACAGAAATATATTTGTTTTAGGAAGATGACATGTTTGTCAAAGCGCTGAAGAATCGACCAACTCTTTTGCATGGAGTAGAAGAATTAAAAATAGAAATGTAAGTATTATTGTTACTATCATTATCGTATGTTTACTTTATTTTGTTCTTCAAATATTTGTTGTATATACTTTCTCTGAATTGCGATTACTTCTTACAAATATTTAAAGGAGTGGCTTATTTTATGCGGCGTTTGTTTTATAATACGAACATATATTTTGCTTACTATGTAGATTTAATGTTGTTGGTGCAAGTCGAAAACTTTTATAAAAATTCTATTTTGAAAGCTCAATCAGTAACCACGTCTCATCTTTTTAAAAGCATAAACATCCTCAAATCAATCTCCCACAATGGGTGCACCTGCTGCTCAAATTTACGAATCCAAGTAACGTAATCTTATACTTTAAGGGACATCAAGTCTATTTAAAAATAGAGCAGAAGATACAACGCTCCCATGCCTTAACAATTAATTTCGTGTCAAAAAAATATTACAGCGACATGCGTATGTTCAAAGTAAATGTGGGAACAGACAATACAATGGGATGGCAAGTTTGTCTGGGAAATGAAATACACCAAAATAACAAAGGCGGCATTCGCAACATTTGGCTTCAAGAACTCTTATTTGTTTTATGAGCGCCTTTATAGCTTAATATACGAAGCACAAGCGAAGGGGTTGAAGATTATTAAAAGGAAAATATGATTAGCGCGTCTTTATTCGAAGATTTCTTTGTAAAACTTTGACACATATGGTGGGGCAATTTAGCAGAGATTGCTCCTTGATTTTATTTTTATTTAGGAAAAATGGCTGCTGTTACAACTGAATTTGAAATTAATTTCATTTGGTAGAAATGGGAAAGATGAAAAATTGATGGCCATTTTTTTTCACGAAAATATGATAAAGTTTTTCCGTGTTTTGTTTTATATCGTTCTAATTTAAAACAACAAGTCGAACATAATAAATTGAAGTGGTTGGTTTATTTCAAAAATATTTTTCAAAGCAATGAAAACACTAGAAGTGTTGTGATAAATGATGCATGCTATTTTATGTATTTAATGGACATATTGAAACTGACAAGTATATTTGTCTGTGCACCTGTGACACTTGTTTAAAAATAAAATTTTGAATGTCAAAAGCATTTGGTTTAAATTCATTGTTTCTCTAAAATTCAGGATCACATAATTCTTTCTTTATTTGTCATGCATTAGACATATTTCTATCAAAACACAATAGAAGCTTTTAAATAAACCGACTTAAATCAGATTGGATTTACATTGATTAGATGAGATGAATAGAACCCATCAAAGTGAATAATATGATATGATAATATACCGCCGGAAATCTTCCTGTAGTATGGGCCTTGATTCTATCATTTTTACATCAAAAAAGGAAAGATCTTTGTTGTTATGAAAAATAAATTTTACAAAATCAATGAAAATTATTTTGAAATGATTTGTCTAAAAAGGTGCATTTGAATTAGCTTTTTGCTGGATTATGGGTTTTTGAGCAAGATTTAGTTGAAAAGGATTATTGAAGAGGAACTAAAATTTACTAATTTTGTGCTTCTACTTCGGTGCATGTTTAGTTGTCTTGGTCGGGTTTCTCGTTGAAAAATCCTTAAAACTTGGATTATTAAAAAAGTTAAAAAGTCTGCATTTAAGCTTCTTGTGAGTACTTTGGTTTAATAATTTAGTTTTTCAGATGGCTATAGCCGATGCCTTGCATTAATGCTATCTGGAGAATTTTGTAATTAAGATAATGTCTACTTAATGATTATTAAAACGATTTGTTGTCACATTTAGTTACCCAAAAATCACTGATCAATAAAACTGGCCGTTAATATCTCTCTCTACCAATAAAGTAGACTTTTATCGAGTTAAAAGAATCAGGCTATTTGAGAAAATGAAGAAAAATGTGCAGCTTTAGCCAGATGAAAAAACATGTTACTTAATTTTTAAGATAGGTGGCAAAAACATTTGTTACTTTGAGAGACTGGTTTTATCTACAAAATGGTCTCGTGTGTGAGCGAAGAAGAAAACCCACTGAAAAATGGACGTAATAAATTGAAAACATTGAAGTGGCCATGATGTTTAGGGCCAGCATACGTTGAATGGTCTCTTATCGCTTATAGGGTGCTCAAGTGTTTAGTATGCATAGAGCGTTGTATTACCGACCGACCCGTCCGATCGCAATGATGGCCACCGGAAGTGTAAACAGAACCCTGCAGCTCTTTCCGGAACTGTTTGTGGAGATAAGCCTGGACTTCGGCGGCCGCAATTTATGATGCATATATGGCATCCCAACGTTGCCCCAGATCTTTATCGACAACTAGTAGAATCCTTTAAAACAGTCCTGATGGCACTATTTTACTTGATAACATAATCTCGGGGTCATCTTGTTTGCTACAGCAATATATTTCCCTGTTTTGAGCGATAACACATCAGTGGATCATTTCATCACAAAGCGGAGTTTTTTCATTAATTTTAATAAAGATTTTAACTCGAATTTCCCTCGTCTTGTCTACATTACAGGAATCGAGGAGCGGTTAGGTAATTTAGATGATTCTGATGTCTTGAAGCCTCAAATATGAAATTATTCCCTCATCAACGTCTGATGTTAATCAAGTAAGCAAATATGGGCTCTGTTCATTTTCAAATTTATTTCTCGTTAGGCTAAAATTATAAATTAACGTCTTTAAGCGAAACGAAATCTTCTCGGGTAACATAATAAGGTAAAGGGATTCGCTCAATTAGCACAGCAAGCTGCGTGTCCGACTGCGCGAAAATTACGCAGCAAGAGCGGAAGAAACACACCACGAACGCATTTAGTTTGATGTATGTTCCTTTGTTCTTTCATGAGTTATTTAAAAATGGATTAATTACTTTTTTTGTTGTTACCCCAGCAGGAGAGCCAGTTGACCTACTTTTAAAGGGATTACGCGAGCAAAAATCTATTTCCGTTTTGGGTTTTAGTCGTTGTTTTAGCTTCCTTAACGTTAGTTTTGGAGTAATTTTTTGTATTGCTACTTCACAAGAGGGCTGTTTTAGATCTCCTGCAAAAAGCAGGAAACACTGACTTTGTAGTTAACATTTTCTTATGGCTCGTTTACCTTCTTCCTCTCTATGCTTCAACCGCACTGCGTTTGAAATTAACCCTTTATTTTAGTTTATTTGTGTGGAAATAAACTTGCACTAAGAACTACATGTACTTAATAATACTCAGCTTGTTTATTCAGCAATATTTTGTAAAAGCGTTATCATACAAGCAAGCATTTGCAAATGATGTTCGCTAATTGTAATTTTCTACTTCTAATATCTTTTTACAGTAATGAAGTGAATGTGATGTTTCATTGCATATCGGTTTGTCAGAATAAATTCATCTCAAGCGGATGCACCTGCTGTTTCCATTTTACTTATTTTGATTTGCATACTTATCTTTAATTGACCATTCAACCATTTTAATCGGTTTATTGGTTTCTTAATAATACTAGCAAACGTCATTTAATTAAATCCTTAATGATCATTTTGTCAAAGCTACTTAGTTGTCGAGAGAGTAATGTACGTAATTACTCCTAGAATTTTCATAGGCATTATCTATGCTTAGTGATTACGTTTTGCATTTACAACTTCATTATGTGATCTTATATGCATAAAGATCGTGGTTTAATTGTGCTATTAATTTTGTTTATTATAAAGATTTAAAACTAATCTTTGAGAGGAGAAAGCAAAACAAATTGTTATTTTTAAATGTTTTAAAGTTTCTATAATAGCGGCAAAGCTACTTAGTTTAAATTCTTTTCTCACATTGCGGAAACTTTCATCGTTGATGCTAGCGAATATATAAATTATTCTTCTGTTGAGTTATAACCTATAGTATTACGTGGAAAACTATTTTCAAAGTTTGGAAACTAACAACAAAGAAAATAATTATGCTTTTCTATGGCTAACAGTCGAAGAACTTTTTTGGCGTTTTGGAATCAGACATGTGAATACTGACTAATACATATTAAGTTATACTTACGTAGTTTTACCAACATTTAGGAGAGATAAATTATACTTATTCAAATTACACAGATGTTTCATGAAGGAAATGAGTCATAATACTTTGATTTGGTGAAGTTGGTAAAACCGCAAAGAAATTTTGATCTTGAATTACCCAGCAGTCATCAAAGAAATTATTTAAAATTTTTAATCTTTGACTTTTTTTTATGTTTGTTTCATTCTGCGGTGGTGTCAAGTCCGTTCATTCCTAATAAAAATCGACTGTCATAAATGGCTATATTTTTCTCGCTGTTCGTACCAATTACTTTTTAATTACTAATGTAGGCAAACGAAGTTCGCAAATTTGCCAAATAAATTACATTAGTACGATCGTTTTTGTAATCTCACTTGGCAAATATTAATCAAGCAGCAAGCTTCCGTTTTATGAACAAGAATTATCCTCTAGTTTTTGTCTTAATTCCAAAATTAAATTTACTTGATTCAAGCACAATCAACACTGTGAGTGGTCTGATCCATTAAGTAATTTCAATATAACATTTTCCAAGTTAAGTGCTCGATGGAGTTTGTCAGATTCAAACGACAAACTTCTTCAAAGAGTTCGTGTTTATACCGTAAAGAAATTACTTAAATATTAACACCAAGTATTAAAACTCTGTTACCCGAGGGAGAAATTCGAATTTGCAATTTAAAACCCCAACAAAGAGTTTACTGCGGTACATGCCACATTTTCCCTTTCTTGGAATTAATTTCTTTAATCAGGTTTTTAGGATTAAGAAAATATTTTTTTAGTAATCTGCTTGCATATCAATGTCGCGACTTAATCCCTCGAAATGATTCCTTGAAAGAGACCTCGGACTTGCTTCCAAGCGTTAATTTTATGTCGTCAACAATTTTCACATGGAATTCGAGATATTCTGCTGTAATTATTACAGGAAGAAGGTCTTCGCTCTCTGCATTTCAAGGATGCAGCCAACCAACTGCCCCTGCTGATTGTTGTCTGCTGTTACATTCCTGCTCTCTCTAGCGTTGTATCGCTTTTCGAATAATGAAAGCCTTTCTCC